CCACACAGAAAAAAAGAATTTCTAACTTCAAAGACAAAGGCTTTGATTTAGCTCAAGCAATTGAAAAGAATGGAAGAAAAACCATAAGAAATAAGGACAACATACCAGAACCCCTAGACACTGTGAAGTGGCCTTTTAGCTGCATATTTAGGATGTCGGAAAAGTCATGATGCATTTCCGCATAGGAAAACATAGAAAAAATACTGCATGACTTCTCCAGAAACCTAATAGATATTCTAGAAGGCGAAGAGACAAAAGCATAGAAAATCTTTCATGTTATATTAGCTGAAAGCCTTCCCAATTTAGAGAGGCATGTGGACATCCAAATCTAGGAAATACAAAGGACAGCAAATAGATAATAACATAAGAAGATCCTCTTCAAGGCTTACTATAGCCAAATTGGTAAAAATCAAAGTCAAAGACAATATGCTAAAAACAGCAAGAGAGAAATGCCAAGTTACTTACAAAGGTTACCCCTTTAGACTAACATTAGACCTCTCAACTGAAAAAATGCAGACAAGGAAAGAATGGGAAGACATATTTAAAACACTGGAAGAAAAACAATTTTTGTCAGGAATACTATGCCTTCAAATGAGGAGAAATAAAATCAATCCCAGATAAACACATGCTAAAAATGCAGATTCAACTGTTCTACACACAAGCAGGTTTAAGTACAAATTCATTAATTATTTGATACAAAGTTGTCTCCACAGATTTCAATTTGTATGTTTATTATAACAATAACTCATTATATTAAACCAAATAACAGAGGAAAACTGCCAAATGTTACAAGTATTTTAGTTTTTCTTCAGAATAATTTTTTTTAAGAGAGGTTTTTGCTATAGGGTGCATGTACTTGCCAGAGACACAGAGAGAGACAGAGAGACAAAAATCATCCCCCAGGGTCATCAGCAATCCCTTCTTCTCCAATGTCCTCTTGGGATTTGGGGCACACATGCACACGTACCCAGTGTGAGCTGCCAGGTCTGGGACTTGGACTGTGGTCGACTACTTGGGAGACCAGTGACATAACCATTATGCCATCTGCTGATCCCTCTTTGGAAAGAATTTAAAGGTTAAACCCAGGAATTTTGTAATGTAAAGTCTGTAAATTACTGAATCACTGACTTTATCATGTCTTTGCTTTTAAACATCTTTTTCTAATTTGGTTTTGCATTTGCTTTTTTGAGGACTTCTTTCTTTTTTTTTTTTAAGAATTTTAAAATTTAACTTTACTTATTTATTCATTTATTTTATTTTAATTTGACCAGAGAGGGACAGAGAGAGAGAGTGAGAGAGAGAAAGCAAGCCGCCAAGACAGGGACTTGAACTGTGGTCAGCCATGTAAGAGTCCAGCGCCCTTAACCACCACACCACCTGCCAGACCTGAAGACTTATTTCTTTATGCATAATCGAGTACTACAAGGATTCATAGTGAATGAGTAAAAGTTTTCTTTTTCTATCTCTTTCTAATGGACTATTGTTATGTACAATTTTACCTATCTCTAACTGGACCAATGATACCACAGGTCTTTTCAGGTTGTAAACTCATATTCCCCACAGTTCTTTATATGAAAATTACAAATTCTTCTTTCATTAGCTGTTAAGATTATCTTTGTTTTAAAAAATCCATTAAAAAAATCCCTTCATTAATTTATGAGATTTTTTTTTGTTGCATGATTTTCAATTTGCTTTTCTTTAAAGTTATATTTCACAGTAAAGAATGTCATACATATTCAGTTCATACTTCCAATTGTGTTACTGCACTGCCAGCACCTGGCCCTGAGATCATTCTTTTATGGCTGAATGTGCTACAGTCACAGCTATTTCGGGAAGCCACATCCATTCAAGGAAAAGTTGGTCTTTTCCAGGCTCCTGGCTTTGTGAAGGCCCTTACCACCCAAAGCACTGACTGAGGACCCATGTCAGCATCTGACTGCTGGGCCTCACGTGGCCACTGAGACTTTGTCTGTCTTGAGGCCCATGGAACCTGCGGTCTTAGCTCTAGTTCCCTAGAAAATAGTCTGACACAGCAGGCCATGTGCCGACACAGGACAGGTGAGTCTGATATCAGGAGGCAGGAATGAGAGACAATGGGAGAGAGGCTAGGAAGGAAGGAGGGCACACAGGAAGGGATGTGTTCCCAACTCAGCCACAGCTTGCAAGGAGTGGATGGGTCTCTCGTATGTCTTCATATCAAGCTTTTGCATTTCTGAGTCATGCATTTGGAGTTGGGGAGGTCGCGAGAGAGAAAGGGAGAAAAATGTATCTACTGGCTCCCATATCCTATTGCCAGGGTCAACTTCTCTGTACATCTCTACCTTAGCCTTATAGAGGAGCCCCGAGGAGGAGGTGGGAGGTGCATGGCACACACGAGGGAGGTGCCATTTGCTCATGTCCCCAAATGCCAAGAGGAACGAGGACCCCTGACCAGCATGTGAGTGGTCTGAATCTACAACATGAGCAGTCAGAGGAGTCTAGTGCATCTGCTCATCACTGCTCAGTGGTCATTGTGAGCACATCCCCTGCTGCAGCCCCGAGTCAAAGCTCGTCCAAGCTCTAGTGACCTGCTGAGGAATGCTGCAGGCTGGAGCTCAGAGCTCCTCTCCCAGGTTCAGTGACTCAAAGCGAACTCAGCTCCAGACAAACTGACAGTGCCAAATAAATTGTGATAAACAACCAAGGTCAAACCCCACCAAAGTGTAAAGCCATCTGCCCTGGCTGTGCATTTTGCTCCCCTAAATTCTCTTCTATTCCATCTCACAAGATTTGAAGCACTAGGTGACAGATACTGAGGGTAGGGTTACATCCCCAAACACAGGTACCCTTCTGCAGAGGCAAGTCCTTTCAAAACCCAGGGCAGAGGTTAACACAAGCTCCTGTGGGTTGCTTTTGGCCCTGAGAAATGGAGACAGAGTGGCTGGTTCATGCAAGCCCGTGCTCCCTTTCTAAACCCATTAGGGAGATAAAGCGGTTTTTCCTCTGGGGATTTGGGGAGGTAGTAAGGGCAGAGAGAGGCTATGAGGATCAAGGTAATGGGAGGAAGTAGCAGGAGTGGAATGACAGTGCTCCCTCACAACACCCCTCACCTGTGCCATGATCTCCCAATAGCTCTCTCACTGAAGTCTTTTCTAAGCCCACTCTGAAGGGGCTGGGAACTGAGCTCAACAAATCTCCTTGAGTGGTGAAGGACAGCCTTCCATTTTCTAAGCTCACAACACTCCTCACCTCCAGGGCACCTGTGCCATGATCTCCCAATAGCTCTCTCACTGAAGTCTTTTCTAAGCCCACTCTGAAGGGGCTGGGAACTGAGCTCAACAAATCTCCTTGAGTGGTGAAGGACAGCCTTCCATTTTCTAAGCCATTCTGGGGGTCTATCTTCTTCTGACAGGGTTGGGAGGGGAGGTACCATACCCAGTGCCCCTTACTGGATCACCAGCTCCTCTCCTGTAGCCGTTACTGAACCCTAGACATCAGCTGATAAGAAACGCTTGAGGAGCAGGGAGGTGCCAAAACGTGAGTGTGGTTACCTTTTAGTCCACCCTCTGGGATGTGCCTAGAAACTTCTCTTCAGAAACTGGAGTCATTGTCAGCTGCTGAGCTCAGCTTTGGGGCTCCATTCTAAGAAAAAAGGATAAGTCCCATTCCACACTCTGACACATTCACTTGATAAGAATCGAGCACTTGCTTTACTAGCCCCTGCACTGTGTGTTGGGGTGATGTGAGGATGGAGGGAGAGGGTTACAAACCACAACTAGTTATAACTCTTAACCTTGGAGGGGCTTTAAGCACAAGGGAGGGAAGTAGACAGACACACACACACACACATATGCACATGTGCACACACACACACCACATGCACATGTCTGGAGAAGTGCTCTTGTATAAACAAGAAACAGATGCAAAGGATAGAAAACCCAGAGGAAAAAGTGAGGCTTCACTGAGAGGTGATATCTGAATTGGGTCTTGGAGGACAAGTGAGTTTGACAGATAGGACGAAAATAGTACAATTAGTAGGAAACAGAGTGGGTGCAAAGGCACGGCTGCTTGACAGGGAGTGGCATGTGCAGGAGGTGGAGGAAGTTTATATGGCAGCAGCATGAGGTATGTGTTCCTGGGGGTGGATAGTGGGAGGTGAGGCTGCAGTGCAGGTGGAGCTAAATAATAAAGAGCTTTGTGTTACATGGAGAGCCTGGACTCTCTGGGGAGTGAGGGACCTGCGTGTCCAGGGCCCTCTGTGGAGTCAGGCAGTGGTAGCCAGTGAGCACACTGCTTCTTCACAGGCACTTGCCAAGACCTACAGGGCTGTAACTGCAGGAGGTTCCTGGGGCTAGCATCATCTGGGCACTTGTTAGACATTCAGAATCTTGGGTCAATAGGTGGCATAGTGGTTGAGGCACTGGATCCTATGTGGCCAATTTCATGGTTCAAGTCCTGGGCCAGGCAGCTAGAACATCATGTTGGATGTGCACGTGTGTACCCACAATCCTGAGAGGAGAATAGAGGAGAAGGGATTGCAATGTGGCCATTTCCCTTGGTGGGGGTGGGGGGGAGGTGATTTCTTGCTTTCTCTCTCTCTCTCTTTGGTGAGTGCATGTACCTTATAGCAGCAGCAACAACAACAACAACAACAAACACAAAGAAATGTAGAATCTCAAGCTCCGTCCAGACCCAGGAAATCAGAGTCTAGAGTTTTATAAGATCCTCAGGGGATCTATAAGCACACTGAAGTTTGAAAAGCCCTCTTTTTTTGCTGGACAGAATTTTCTTCACTTAAACTCCTCTTTTCTTTATTTCTTCCTTTCTTTTTCTTTCTTTTTGTTCTTCTTTCCTTTCTTCCTTTCTTCCTTCCTTCCTTCTTTCTTTCATCTTTTTTTTTCTTTCTTTCCTTCCTTCTTCCCCTTCCTTCTTTCTTTGTTTTTCTATTGTTAGACCGTTCATGCACTGACCACAGAGAGACAGAGAAAGAGGGAAAGGAACAGGAGAGAAAGCACCCTGCAGTGGGGTGTGGTCATGAGACAGTCCTTTCTCCATTATTCCATCCCGTGAGGCTGTGGGCATGCACACACACACACACTCCACATGCTTTTCGTGCTGCTAGGGCTAGAACTCAATCTATGCAGTCAGCCATGACCCAGTCAGCCTGGGACCTGACTCCTTTAACCACCAGGCCACAGGGCTGACCCTCATAATTTATTTTTTATTAAGAAAAGAGAAAAACAGCACTTCCTGGACCCAATGCCAGTCTGATCATAGTTCTCATCATTCATCTCTTCCTTTATTCATTCAGTCAAGTAGTGATTGAGCACCTCCCATGTTCCAACAAACGGTTCATCTGCACCCCTGGATCCTGGAGTCTTGCCTCTGTTGGATTACTTTTGGTAGATTTGGTAGGGAGTTTCACACCCTTGGGGGTGAAATCCACTTACTTGGATAGGTAGATATCAGCACATCACATTGGCAAAGGATCTTGGCATCAGGTGCTGACCTTAGAATTCCAGACATATGGAGGAGCATGGACTTACTGTCTCTGTGGGGAGACCATGGCAAGTCCAGGGCCATGGGGTGCATGCTGTCCCATTGGGCAATGCACCCTGCCGCTCTCCTGGCTGATGACAGTTGAACACACACATAGAGGGCAGGACCTTAGGGTAGAGCTTAAGAGCAATCCTCATTGAAAAATGTGGTGAGGGGGTGGGGAGCAGGACTTGGAATAGCAATCACAGCTAACGCATTCAGGAAGCCAGGAGGCGTGATGGCTCTGGGGCGGGTGCTGTTGTCATTGGGTAAAGAAACTTGCTAGGGCAGAGTCTTAACCTTGAAACAGACAGGAATCCAGCAGGGCCCTGTCTCCTGGTCAGACTGAGGGAATGGGCACCTGACACACGACCACTGGATGTGGTCTGGGACAGTTTAGATCTTCCCACTTCAATGCTCCCTCTCCTGCGAGAGCGCTGGTGTGCAAGGCTGAGACAGCAGCTGAGAGACGTGAGGGCTCATCTGTGAGGAGCTGAGGCAGCCAAGATCTGGGGCCCAGTTGACGCCACCTTCACCTGGGAGTAGATGACAGAGGGCTCCTAGGAGGAAAGAGCCCAGGTGTGAGGGAGGGCCAGTACTGGTGGGCCTAGGGCGGGAATGTGCAGGTGGTGAGACTCACCTTTTTCCTGAGATGCTGAGACGAGCAGGTCGCTGTGGAAAGAAGGGAGGTGTTGGTCTTGGAAGGCCACTGGGTATTCTTTGCCTGCCTGGTACTATGAGAATGACCCAGTGTGTCCCTGGGGTGTCCCTCCTTTCTGTGAGCTGTGTCAGGTGCTTCTTGGGTCCTCTCCCTGTTCTGCAGCTGCTCCTTTCCTAAGACCTCCCCCTAGACACTCAGTGCTGACAACCCACATCATCCACACTGTGCTCCCTACTGAGCTGCCTTGGGGCTCTCAAAAGAAAGACATTTACCTTTGATCTTGCTGGGTTTTGATCCTAGATTTATAGTGGGTATTGTGGAGAGGTGGTATGGTCTGGAGTATGCTTAGAGAGCAGACTCAGGACCCAGACCATCCCAGCCTGAGCCCTGGGCCTGCCTTGCCACCTCTGCAGCCTTGAGCAAGTCAGGCAAGAGCTCCTCAGTTGCCTCCTCTATATCATGGGAATAATAACATCACCTGCTGAAAGGGTTTCTGCAAAGTTACATGAGTGTGTGTGTGCATTAATGTGCATGTCTGGGTACATATAATTTCTATCATCTATCATAGTCCAGTAGAGTCTGTGTGCCAGACACAGTTGTAAGTGCTGTAAGTAAATACTCCCTTTCTCTATCATAGATCTGTGTGCTATTGTTCTATCTATACCTAAGACCCCCAGTGGATGCCTGAAACCACAGATATTCTCCCCTCAGAACTCTCCATAGATTATATTTTTTCCTATACATGCAGACTATGATAAAGTGCCATTTGAAAATTAGGCACTGTAAGGGGTTAACAATAATAATGAATAACAAAATAGAACCACTTTAGCAATATAAGCTAATAAAGGTTATGTAAATGTGGTCCCTCTCTCTTTCTCAAAATAGCTCACTGTACTGTACTCACCTATTTTTGGGCTGCGGTAGGGAGTGGGTAACTGAAACTACTGATAAGGAGGAGCCACTGTATGTGTGCAGGTGCAGCTCTAAGCGCTACACATATAAATACAGGCTATTTATAGCACTTAAAACTGCACCTGGCAATGAGAACTGCTCACACATGATAGATATTACAAGTTATGATGTTATCTTCAACGTGGTGTGAAACATGACATTCTCCAGAGAGGACTCTCCTTTAGGTTTGTAATGAGCATTTGGACTCTCTGGACTTACAGGAAGAAGCAGAGTTTGGTTAAGAGCTTGGACTCTGAAGACAGAGTCTTTAGAGGGGCACTGACACAAGAGAAATTAGAAAAACAGAGAGGGAAGCACACTGTCTAAAATCACATAGCACTTGGTAAAAAGCAGAAGTAGGAAAAAAACCCAAATCTGCCCCAGAGAAACTTGCTTCCCTTCCCAGCTCCTAGGCAGAAAGCCAGACCACGGACCATGAGTGAGGACTGATGACACAGCCAGATTCAGGATATAGTCATGACCACAGCTGAGTCAACCCTTCCTGTTTTAGCAGCATTTTCACATCTATTTTTTTCTCACTTAATCCTTACAATAACTCTTAGAGATGGTGTAGTAGCTAGGATAATGTTGCCTCAAAGATGTTCATTTCCTAATCCTTAGACCCTGTGAATATGTTATCTTAGATAGGAAAAAGGACTTTCCAGATGTAATTAAAATGATGGACCTTGGGCCAGCTGGTGGCATGGGGGTTAAGGAGGCTAGATCCCAGTGGCTTGGAAAACATGCCAGGTCATGTGCATGCATACCCAAAATCCCGAAAGGAGAAATGGAGGAGAGGGGATTGAGGTGTGGTCATCCCCTCTGGGAATACTTTCTCACTTTTCCTCTCTTTCTCTGGTGAGCACATGTGCCCTCTGGCAAACTGGGGAAAAAAAAAAAATCTGGATTTTGAGATGGGGAAAGTATTCTGGATTATCATGAAAAAAAAAAAAAAAGGTGGACTTTGAGATGGGGAAAGTATTCTGGATTATCATATCACATGGGCCCAATTTAATCATATGCAACCTTAAAATTACAGAGTGAGAGCTTTTTTTAGCTGTGGTCAGGAGGATACCTGACAGTGGGCAAATGGTTAGATGGCTCTGAATATGGAGGAAGTGGGCAAGAGTCAAAGAAAGAAAGTGGGTGGCCCGTAGAAGCTAGAAAGGCAGGGCCCTTGTGTACCCCAGAGCCTTCAGGAAGGGACACAGCCTGTCAACCCCTCTATCGTAGATCATGAGACCCATGCCAGAGTTCAATACAGAGCTGTAAGATAACAAATTTGAATTGTTTAATCCCACCAAGCTTGTGATGATTTGTCTCAGCAGCAATAGAAAACTAATACAGATGCTGTCCATGCCTTTAGACTTTCCAATCTTTTAGATTCTGTCATAGAGTGCAGACATTTGGCAGACACAAAAGTGGAAAATTATGTGTTAATGATGATGTGTATGGTAATATGCAGTGTATCCATGCTGGGAAGATTCATTTTGTATGATGCAAAGATGTGCAGTGATTAAATGTAAAGAAAAAAGGAAAACAAATACAGATAGGTGAGTGCTATGGACTGGGTATTTGTGTCCATCTCCAAACTCATGAGGGAGCCTTATTCCTAATGTGGTAGTATTTGGAGGTGAGGTCTTTGGAGATAATTAAGTTATGATGGAATTAATTAGTGCCCTTATAAGATGAGATGTGAGAGAGATGATCTCTCTCTCTCTCTCTCTGCCACATGAGGATACAGCAAGAAGGCATCAGCAAACTATGATGAGGACCCTCACCAAGAACCTGGCCATGCTGGCATTTTGATCTTCGACTTCCAGCCTGAGAACTATGATAAATAAATGTTTGTCCTTTAAGCAACCCAATCTATGTTATTCAATTACAGCAGCCCAAACTAAGATAGTAGGGAATGGTAGTCCTGTTCCACTTTACAGATGGGGACACCAAATCTCTGAGAGGTTAAGGGACTGCCCAAGATGATATCTTGCTATTCAGGGTCTACTGAGGCCATCTGTGGGAATGGAGAAAGCAGCACTGCATGGTAGGTTTGGATTAACCCCAAACAGCATAGGCACGGTTAAGAAGCCCAGTGACCCAGTGTGAGGGGGTGTGACCCTGTATTGGACCTGCTGAGGGGGTGGCGACTGTGCTCATGGAAATAGGCTGTCAACGTTAAAGCTGGCCAGAGCAGAGATTTCTTTGGATCTTACCGGCATGCTTGTTCTTCTCCTGGCTGCTCCGTACTTCTGAATAAACTACGTCTCCTCCTCTAGGATTTACTTGAAAAAAAAAATTAGACATTTCAGAGGATGCTAAGGCTCTTGCTTCTTGTCTGAGCTTCTTCCTCCTCTCCCAACTAGAGTTTGGTCTCCAGAAGAACTAGAGTCCCTCCTCGTCTCCTGCCCCAAGCCCTTCTAGCATCAACCCTGCAGTTCCTGACCAAATGGATAGCCCTTGGTCCTCACCGTTGCTGTACACTGGCTGTAGCTCTATCCAGGCTGGTACATTGTGATAGGTGGGTTCTTGGGGGGACAAGTTCGAAGGGCTCCTGTGAGACACAAATGTGGATATTTCCCAAGAATTCTGACAAAGCAACTATAATGATCACTACTAGTTAGTGAGTTCTTACTATGGGGTGGCTGCACATCTGTAAACACAGGCTAGTACATAACAAAGGGCCTATGATCATTACATTATAAAGCATGATAAATGAGTATCGGTCATTAGAAAAGTCATGATGCATTATTGTGTTGAAAAAAGTCATGACTTTTCCAGTGATCCAATATTTATGTCTCCAGGCTTTATGAACATTTTATATGTGACGAGCATGGTGCCAATGTGTATAACAATATTCAGTTCATTCTATTTTATCCCTGCTTTACAGATGGAATTTTGTGTTGAAAAAATAAGTCATGACTTTTCCAGTGATCCAATATTTATGTCTCCAGGCTTTATGAACATTTTTATATGTGACGAGCATGGTGCCAATGTGTATAACAATATTCAGTTCATTCTATTTTATCCCTGCTTTACAGATGGAAAAAAACAGAGGTTTCACAAGGCCATGGAAAAACAGAGGTTTACCAAGACCATGGAACCGGAAAGGGGAGGAGCCAAGATTCAAACCTGACACCAAATCCTCTGCTCTCAGAGAAATCAGTAAGTGATAATCTAAAAGATTCAAAAGAACTCTGGATGGCTTGGAGACTGCTACCATGGGCCTGCCCGGGGATAGCTTGTGAGCCATGGTATGGCTCCTGAGGTCAGTCTAAGGTATCCAAGATGGAGGTCCCTTCTTTGTAGCACCATCTCCTGCTGGCAGGTGATCTCCTTCTGGGCAGCCACATTGTGTGGCTCCATCTTGGCTGTCATCATGACAGATGTTGAGTAGGTTGGCCATGTGCAGAGCTTTGCAAACTGTTAAGCTAAGATCATCCTGAGACATGAATGGTTTCACTGGCATGAGGTCTCAGACAACTAAAGCCAGAGATGGTTTAAGAGGTGAGTCAATAAATGAAAAGCAATTAACATTTGATGTGAGAAGGAAGCCTATGCAGCTAAAAAGGTTGGTGAGAAGTTTCTGTGAATTGCTTTGAACTGTCCCAAGGGGGAGGTAGCAACACAGAGTGGGTACAACCCATCTTAGCAACATACAGCAGAAATTGCTCTTGGTAGTAATCAGATTCATTTCATTAACCCCACAGGAATATAACCCAGGCCTTACCTGGAAGGGTCAGAAGTAGGTCTTTCCCCTGTGAAGGAAAGCAAGGGACATTAGATTTATAAAAAGGAGACCTTCACTGAAGGCAAAGGTCATGGGAGACTCACCTAGAAACGGAAACCTTCACAGGAGGCAAAGGTCATGGGAGACTCACCTAGAAACTGCCAAAGTCTGAATCTCAAGAGAGGTAGTATATTGAGCAAAAATGACTGACCCTGGCTTCTACAGGGGTATATATATAATGTGAAAGGGACCCCACAACCCGTAATCCTTTAATCTGGAGTTTTAAAGACAATGGTCAATAGCTTTAGGCAAGAAAATAGACTTGGACAGCTATAAAAATATAGTACATTTAAAAAAATCAGTAAACTACCAAATCCTGTTTGGTTTCTCTTTTCACTCCTAATTATCAAAATCTTTCTCCTCTTCTTATTCCTTAGAGGTCTTGTAAGGGTAAAGAGAGGGGTACACTGCACTACAGCTTGTAATGTTAGATAAACTACGCATGAGCAGTTGTGGAAACTTCTATGTGTAAAGAAGAACTCTGGGAGACCAGTGGGGAAGGTGAAGAAGGATTGTGGGATGAAAGAGGAAGCGCTCTTGAGAACTAGGAGTGGTCACAAAGTGAATGTGAGCCCGAAGGCATGGAGATGGGAAGAACCCGGAGACAAGAAAAAGGTAAGCCAGGGAGGTACCCACCTGCTTTTCTTGAGAACCAGCAGTAGAAGAGCAGCACCCCAGTGGCAAGGCCCACCATGCTGAGCAACCCACATGTGACTCCGGTGGCAACAGGGTCACTTCTGTGCTCAGCCAGCCCTGTGGGGACACCCCGTATGTGAGCCACAGGCAGAGGCTGGTGGTCTTGAACTTCCTTGACCCTGGAGCATGCCTGGGCCTGGGAGAGAGGATGAACCTAGGTGAACAGGACTCCTAGGGCTGGTTAAACACAGGACGTGGCTTTTCTTTTTCCAAAGAAGCTCATCTTGGGGCTTGAGACAGGGAGAAAGTGAGGATGGGTGGTGGCCGATGAGGAGAGAGCCAGAGGCTGGTGAGCTCTAAAGCCAGCGGTGCTCTTTGTCCCCATAACCCCCCACTCAAATACCGTCAGAAAATAACAATTTAGAGAACTATTGGCTTTTGGTACTTGTCCCTGAGATGCACTGTCCTGGTAAACCATCATGAGGATTATCAGAGTGTGCTAGGGGGAGTATCTTGTCTACATCTGTGACCTGAGTGTTAGGAACTTACCCTGGACGAAGAGTGTCACTGCCTCACTGCGCTGGGCCCCCAGGCCATTGTCAGCCTCACAGGAGTAGTTTCCGGAATGCTCAATGGTCAGAGAGAGGTTGAAGGATGCTCCTCCTCCATGGGGGGCTGAGCTGTTCCCCAGGGTGACATCTTCGTGATAAAACCAGTACCAGATCGGAGGAGAGCCTCTCAGGGCCTCACAGTGAAGCTCCAGCACATCCCCCACCACAGCCTGGGCCCTGGGGGTCTGGAGGGTGAGGACAGGAGGAGACACTGGAACTAAGGAAAACAAAAAGGCAATAGCAGTTTCTGCTTCTGACATATTCATAAGGAACAAAAAGTATTACAAACAAATAGAATAAGGTAGAGCGCAGTCTTGAGAAATATATTGAAGTGTATCCGGTAGAACTAATTACAGATAGTTTCCAACGTACAAAGAAATCCAACAGAAAAGTGCAAAGTACTGGAAACTCAAATGGCTAGTAAAATATATAAAAGATTCTCATCTTATTGCTAAATAAAGACAGCCATACTGTTCTTTCTCCTACTCATCAGATTGGCAAAGCTGAAACAGACAAGGTTGTGGATAAACAGGTATCTCATTATGCTCTAGGTATGAATGTAAATTCAAGATACTCCTTGAATGGCAATTTGGAAAATATTTTTCTACCACATTTAAAATGCACATAGGGCCATACGATGGTCTAGTGGCTAAGGTGACTGGATCTCACATAGATGACTAAATGGTCCAAATCCAGGACCCAGCAGTTTGAAAAACATGCCAGGTGCTTGCCCAAAATCCCAAGAGGAGAATGGAGGAGAAGGGATTATGGTGTCTATTTCCTCTGGGGGGTGATTTCTCACCCACCCTGATCTCTCTGCTGAGTGCGTGTGCTCTATAGCAAATTTAAAAAGATAATAAAATGCAAATAAAGATTGACCCAGAAAATCTACTTCTAAGGCCATCTCCTGTAGGGATACAGACATAATGTATATCAAGATATTTGTGCAAAGATTTCTTTTTATTGGTATTTTTATTGGTATTTTTATTGTAACAAAAACTAGAGACAACCTAGCAGATTGGGTAGTAAAATATGAGATATCTTCAAAAAACTCATGAAAAATACATATTATAAATAAACTATGCATGGATTTATAGTGGTTTTTTATTTTTTTTGGCACTGAAATAAACTCATACTTGAATTCCATTTTTTCCTAGAACTTTTCAAAGTTCCCTTGTGTGAAAGATATCTAAGATAAACATCTTTAAAGCCAAGATGTGTGTTTAGGGACTGGGCAGCGGTGTGGTGGTACTGCAACGGAACCCCCATGGTTCACAGCCCAGAACCTCCCTGAGCATTCTGGAGCTGGTGCACGCAGGCCTGTGGTTGGGCTGGCTGACACTGCAGGGGGAGCCCAGCTAAAGAGCCCTGTGGGGTTGAGGACCCTTATCTCTCTTTCTCTCTCTATGGATTAAAAAATTTAATGTATTTTTAAGTGATAATTGCAAGCTGCTTATCTCTCTCTCTCTCTCCCCTCCCTCTCTCCCCCCCCCTCTCTATATATGTGTGTGTGTGTGTATGTGTGTGTATGGATTCTGGTTGTGTAAACAAAACTTATACCTTTATGTTTACAAAAATATTCCTGGAGGGGTACACATGAAATAGTTTAAAGTGGTTATGTCTGGGAAGTACGTGGCCACAAAAGTGTGTGGGAACAGATAGAGCAGGTACTTTTCAATGTTGACCATTTTGTCGCATTTGGATTTTGTACTGTTTGTTTTTAGCTTGCTATAGAGCATGTGCACTTGTGGGAGAGAGACAGAGATGGAGAGAGAAGGGAAGTGCAAAAGCACCCTCTGGGGGGTGGCCACACTATAGCCACTTCTCCTTCATTCTCCTCTCGGGATTTTGAGCACACACACACACGTATCCTGCATGTTTTTCCAAGCCATCGGGTCTGGGACTCAAACTATGCAGTTGGCCATGTGAGATCCAATAGCCTTAATCCCCATGTCACCTGCTTACCCCCCAGTGTGCTTTTTTCAGCTCTCAGGGCCAGGATTGGAACCATGGTTGGCTATATGGGATCTGGTTCTCTTAAACCACTCAGCTATGAGGCTGGCTCTAGATTTTTAAAGGAAAAGTTGATGGAAGCCACAGTGAACACAGAGATCAAAGCTCTTTACTCCGCCCAGCTGCATGGCCCAGGTAGTAGGATCATGTCTCTTCTTTAATGCCTCTTGCTATAAGGATCACTAGGTGCCTCTCCTAAAAACCTGTGGACACAGCTAATCTTAACACAAGATTTTAACATAGAAGTATAAGGAACATTTACATTCCTAGTAATGAAACAAACTCAAAATCAAAAGCTTGTAGGGAACTAATGAGTGAAACGTCTAGACAAGGAAAGGCCTAATCTTTTATTGGGTCAGAGAAACCAATACTCATGCTCAGAATTCTTTGGCATCTCTCCTGTACCACAATTTCTAACCAGAATATAGTCTACATTCTGAAAGAACTCCCAGGCATTTTTAGGGAGGAGTTTCAATCACATCCAAGAAGATTGCTTGAACCGTGCTGCTGAGACAGCCTGGATTCCTGAAACAGAAAGGATTCCGGAGTGAGAGAGCTCCATTTTCTCTCAGGGAGGAGAAGGCACAGTTAGGTCTGGGTCTTTCTGCTGGTGGGGAAACCAACTCACCTGTGACCTTGAGTATCACCATGTCACTGTGCTGAGCTCCCAGCATATTACTGGCCTCACAGGAGTAGCTTCCAGAATGTTCTGTGGTCAGAAAGAAGGTAAAGGACACGTCTCCTCCTGAGAGGGCTGAGTTGTTGCCCAGGATGACATGTTCATGGTAAAATCGGTACAGGATTGGAGGAGAGCCTCTGAGGGCCTCACAGTGAAGCTCCAGCATGTCTCCCACCACAGCCTGGGCCTTGGGGGTCTGGAGAGTGAGGACAGGACGAGACACTGGAACTGGGGGAGGAAAAACAGTTACCCATCACTCTTTCTGTTCATATATATTCCTCTGTACTGGAGACATTTCGGATGGCAAAATGATTTTCTTTTTTTTTTTTCTTTTTTTTGGAGAGGTTTTTGCTATAGGGTGCATGCGCTTGCCAGACAGACAGAGAGAGACAGAGAGATAGAAAGCGAGAAATCACCTCCCAGGGGGGATGGCCATGCCGCAATCCCTTCTCCTCCATTCTCTTCTTGGGATCTTGGGCACGCACACACACGCACCCGGCGTGAGTTTTAAGCCACCGGGTCCAGGACGCAAACCATGGTCGACTACATGGGAGTCCAGCGACATAGCCATTATGCTAGGTGCTGGTCCCGGCAAAATGATTTCTGTGTCTAATGACTCTGTGACATTACCCAGAATTCAGCTGTAATTCCTTCTGATCTCAGGAAACAATAACATGTATACAGTGCCATATATAGTTTAAAATACTTGGATAGATAAATTTAAATGTGTCTGAGAAATATGAAGAAAAAAACCCCACTAAACTGAAACACAGGCCTCATATAAGAACTCAGTGGATGACTGGGGAAAGAAGGAAATCAGCTCAATGGAAATGGGAATGGAGAGACCTGCTGCTTGCGTAGTCAGGGGTGTAATTGCGTTTGGCTGAGCAGGACCACTTCCTCAAAAAACCAGAAATAGAGCTGCCTTATCATCCAGTAACCCCAGCACTAGGCACATATCCAGAGGGAAGGAGGTCAGTATATCATAGAGAGAGCTGCACCCTGATGTTCACTGCAGCACAATTCACAACAACCAAGATATTAAGTTAGTCTTACTATCTATCAATGGACAAATGGGTAAATATAATATGGTTTGTGTACATAATGGAATATCATTCAGCCATTAGAAAAGATTAAGACTTGTCATTCAAGGCCACATGGGTGAGCCTAGTAGACATTATGAAATAACTCAAGTGCAGAGAGAGAGAAATCGCATGTCCTCACCTGTATCTGGAAACTAAAAAGGATGATGTCATAGAAGTAGAAAGTAAGGGGGACCAGCAGGTGGTATGGTAGTTAAGGTGCTAGAGTCCCACATGGCTGAGTGAGGTTCAAGCACCAGATCTGGTGGCTTAAAAACCACACTGCGTGCATGTGTGTACATGCCCCAAATCCCAGGAGTAGGATGGAAGAGAAGGGACTGTGATGTGGCCAGCCTCCTGGGGGTGATTTCTCACTTTCCCTTTCATTGTCTTTCTCTAGCAAGCACATGTGCCCTATGGCAAAATTCTAAAAAACAAAAACAAGAAACAAAATAAGTAGAGAGTAGAATAGTGATTAATAGAGGCTGGGAATGGTAGTGGGAAGGGGAGATAGAAAGCTGTTGGTTAATGAATACAAAATTACAGATAAAGGGACCAGCAGTTAGCGTAATGGCTATGTTGCTGGACTCTCATGTAGTCTATCATGGTTCAAGTCCCGGACCTGGTGACTTGAACTCACGCCAGCCATGTGTGGGTGCGTGCCCAAGATCCCGAGAGGAGAATGGAGGAGAAGGGATTGTGGTGTGGCCATCCCCCTGGGGGGGGGGATTTCTCGCTTTCTGTTCTCTGTCTCTCTCTGTCTGGCGAGCCGCACGACCCCTATAGCAAACCCTCTCCAAAAAAAAAAAAAATACAGATAAATAAGAATTAAGCTCTCGGGGCCAGCAGGTGGTGTGGTGGTTAAGGTGCTGGACTCCCACATGGTTCAAGTCTTGGACCTGGCGGCTTGTGTGCACGCTCTCTCTCTCTCTCTATGTCTCTCTTCCTCTCTCTCCTTCTCTCATCAAATTAGAAAATAATAAATAAAATTAAATAAATAAATATTAAAAAAAGAATTAAGCTCTGCTGTTGTTAAGAATAAGTTATTGTATATTTCAGAATAGCTGTGAGAGAGGATTTTGACTGGTCAAATACAAAGTAATGATTACTATTTCAGATGACGGATATGTTAATTACCCTGATTTGATGATTATACATTGTGGCCATGTACTGAAAAATCACACTGTTCCCCATAAATACACATGTACAATTATTATTTGTCAATTAAAAATAAAAGATGACAAATTTTATGTAGAAAATAAAATGATTATTAAAAAAGCTGCCCACAATAGAATGAGTGTTAGTCAATTTATTTACTCATTCCTACATTTATTCATTCGTTCTTGAAAAATTAATTGAGCAGGTGTCAGATGTTAGTGCAATGGCAGAACACAACACTCCACTAGCCAGCCTCACACAGGAGGGTGCCCAGTTCAAGTCCAGTGGTGTCTCTGAGTAAGCCAGATGCGTGAGAACTCAGGATCTGCATCTGACTGAGGGCCGTGAGTAGATTGCTATAGAAGACGATTGGGGGTGTAGTCTCTCTCTCACACAAACTCATAGAAGAAGTAAATAAACATTAAAAAAACATTAGCTGAGCCATTGGTAAGTCCAAAGAACTGCACAATATTGTGGGGATTCAAGGTGAGAGAGACTTAGTGTCTGTTGTCACAGAGCCTGTAACCTAGCAGGAATAATAGGCAACGGTTCAATAAGAATACAAGCATAGACTGAAAACATTGATACTTAACACAAAGTAAAGGTCAAGCTACTGTGAAATATATAATGCTAGGCCCTAATCTAGCATAGGTCAGTCAGGGAAGGCTTCCTCATGAAGTGACATTGGAAATTACTCAGGAGAAGAGAGAGGTGAAGAGTGCACCTACCAGGCAGGCAAACAAATATGCTCAAAGGTTTTGGGATGGTGAGAAGATTGGCACATTTAAGTTACTGAAACAAGGTGGCAGCAGCAATAGAAGGGTCTGAAAGGCGCCATCTAGTAGACTGGAAAGGTCAGCTGGGCTTCAGAATCCTGCTAAGGATTTTGATCCTTTTTCACAGAGCAATGGGAAGACTATAAACCTGTCTAGCAAATTAAAAAAAAAAACAACAAACTTGTGACAGAGCACATGTGCTCCTCACAGAGGGAACAGAGAGACAGAGAGAGAGAAAAAGAGAGAGAAGAGAAGGTATGACCCAGGGAAGATGGTCATGCCACAATCTCTTCTCCGTCATTCTTCTGTCTGGGTTTTGGGTAAGCACACACATACACCCTGTGCATTTTCCAAGGTGCAGTTGACCATTGAAATCCAGCTGTCTTAACCACCATGCCACAAGCAGGTCCTAAAACATGTCTTTATAAAAGACTATTCTGACTTCAGTGTGGGATATAAGTGAAATAGAGTGATAGTGAAGTGGCATTGCAATAGTTGGAATGATGGTGTATTTGAGTAGAACAGTGGTGATATAGACAGAAAGAGATTGAGGATATATTTAGGAAATAAAATCAGCATGACTTATTGAGCAACTGGCTATGAGAGGTGAGAGAAATAAAGTCCGAGGAAGTCTCTTTTTTCATCTTTGTGTATGTGCTTGAATGTGGAAGCACTTTCAAAGAGAGTGCTCAGAGGGGACCAGGGGAATATGAGAAATTTAGATTATCCTCATCATCAAGTGGCACCTGCCTGTAGTTACTTTCTATTATTCCTATGGTTCTCACAATGGATTAGTCTTTGTTTCTATATCTAAGTCAGTATTTTTCAACCCTGTGGACATAATATTTTCTCCTGAAGATGTGTTAAAAAATACTGATTCTGGGGCCAGCAGGTGGCATGGTGGTTAAGGACGCTGGACTCCCGCATGGCCAGCCATGGTTCAAGCCCCAGACCTGGAGGCTTCCTTTCTCACCTTCCCTCTCTCTCTCTTACTCTGTCTCTCTCTAGCCATAATAAACTAACTAAATAAATAAAGTTAAATTAAAAAAATAATAAAAAAAAATACTGATTCTACGATTCCACCTGAGAAATACTGGATTTAATTGGACTACAGAGGGACTTAGTAACAAGTCTTTTTTCAAAGTTTCTAGGTCATTCTGACTTGCAGCCAAAGTTAAGAACAACTGATCTACAGAAATTCAGTACTCACTTTTCCTAGTATAGACTCCTCATTCTAAGTCTTTTCTCTTGATTCACATTACGTTGGATTGGATTTTGTCAAGAAAAGTTAATGACCAACTGCACCTTGGAAAATACACTGGGTGCACGTGTGTGCTTACCCCAAACTCATGCTCCAAGTCCCTGCATTTTTTGCAATGCCTTTTTGATTTGGTATAAAATTCTCATTTCTCATTCCTCCTCTGGAAGTCCAAGTCTGGACCCAGTCCTCTCTCTTTTGGTATTGACTGCTGTGCCAAGTCTAAGCCCAACTTCTCTATTTTTCTGAGATGACTGCTTTTCACCCCACTATGATCACACACACACACACACACATTTAACTTTGAAGTTCAATAATTTCATCAAGCAATATTTTTAGATCTACACATGTCAGTTCACTTCAGGAAAATTAAAAAAAAATACCATTAAAAAATAATTTGTTAGAGGGTACATCACTCCCCAGAGAGAGACAGAGAGAGGGAAAGTGAGAAAGCACCTGTCATGGGGAATGGTCATGCTGTAATCCTTTCTCCTCCATCTCTTCCTCATTTGGGGATTATGGGCACACATGTACACATGCCAGTATGTTTCTTAAGCTGCCGTGTCCAGGACTTGAGTCCCCCAGTTGGCCATGTGAGATCTAGCTGCCTTAACTACCAGGCTATGGACGGGCAACGCCTTCATCCACCACCCCCACAACTTTTATTGCCAGAGGAAATTTGTGATTACCAGAGAAAGACAGAGAAAAAAGGACAGGGAGAAAGGTCACGTCACAGTCTTTTCCCCTCCACTTCTCCATTCTGCTGGGGTCTTGGGCACATATGCAGAAGTGTCTGGTGTGTTTTTCAAGCCACTAGGACTGGATTTGAACAGTAGTTGACCATGTGGGATCTGGCTCCCTTAACCACTAGGCTACTAGGTGGACTGAACATTTTTTAAAGTTATCTTTTGAGTTTTATTTTTTCCCGTCAATTTTTTTTTTTAACTTACAGACATTTAATTACCCACATGTGGGGTCTCCATTGTCTGATCTTCATGTTGTAATTTTTTTACCTCTATTTCTGCTTTCTACTTTTGCATTCTGTATTGTTTCTGAAACTGATTCTTTATTTAATTAGCATTTTCAGAGGTATTCATTCTATTATTTCTGTTCAAATTTGGATTTCATTTCTAAAATAGCTTTTTTCTTTTCTTTGTTTTTTTTTTTTCCTCCTGAGCTCTATTAGTTGTTGTTGTTGTTATTTATTTATTTATTTTTTTTATTTTTTAAGAGAGAGAGAGAGATTTTTGCTATAGGACACATGTACTTGCCGGAGAGAAATAGAGTGATAGAGGGACAAAAAGTGAGAAATCAGCCCCTAGAAGGGAAGGCCATGCCATAATCCCTTCTCTTCCATTCTCCTCTCAGGATCTTGGGAATGCATGCACATGTGCCCAGTGTGAGTTTAAACCACTGAGTCTGGAATCGAACCACAGTCAACTACATGGGAGTCCAGTGACAAAGTTAATACTCCAACTGCTGGTCCCAAAAGAAATTCTTAAAAATTAAAATATGACTACCAATGTGAAGTATTTCAGGACCAGTCAGCTATAGGGCGTGTGCGCTCACCAGAAAGACAGAGAGACAGAGAGACAGAAAGCGAGAAATCATCCCCCCAAGGGGGGATGGCTACACCACAATCCCTTCTCCTCCATACTTCTCTCGGGATCTTGGGCACGCACGCACACACGCCTGGCGTGAGTTTAAGCCACCAGGTCTGGTACTCGAACCACTGTCGACTACACGGGAGTCCAGCGACATAGCTATTATGCTAACTACTAGTTCCAAGTTTTGGATATCTTCTTATTTTATCTTACCATCTCTTTTTAAACCTCTTTTAATTTCTTTTTGTGTTTTTTCTTTTTCCCCCCAGAAGTTCATATTTTATTTAATTGTATTGAGAATATCCAGAAGAATTGGGTTATTTTATTTTCTGTCTTCTATAGCAGTTTTTCTTCTTAAAAGTATTAGGTAGAAACCATCAGATGAGGTAATAGTTACATCGCTGGACTCCCATGTAGGTTAAGTCCTGGACTCGGTGCCTTAAAATTCACATCAGGTGCAGTGTGTCTGTGCCCAAGATCATGAGAGGAGAATGGAGGAGGGGTTTATGGCATGGCCATCCTCCTCCCAGGGGGTAAGTTCTCACTTTTTCTCTTCCTCTGTCTCTCTGGCAAGAGCACATGCCCTATAACAAAAATCCCTCTCTCTACAAAAAAAAAAAAAAAAAAAAAAAAAAATGTGCCAGCAGGTAGCATGGTGGTTAAAGCACTGGATTCCCACATGGCTGACTGTGGTTCAAGTCCTGGACCTGGCAGCTTGCTTTCTCTTTCTTTCTCTCTCTCTCTAGTGAGCACATGCGCCTTATAGGAATTAAAATAATAATAATACATAAAATTAAATCAATAATTTAAAAAAGTGTTAGGTATTACCTGCTTTTCTTTTCCCTTTATAATTTTAAATGTATCTATGCAAAGATCCCTATATTGGGCCTTTTTCATTTGCTTATTATTTATTCTTGAATGGATAAAGTTATATTCAGGGTCTGGTGTTTGTTCAAGAATATTGCGTGTGTGTGTGTGTGTGTGTGTGTGTGTGTGTATGTTTCAGTGGCCTTGGGGATGTTGATAGATTCAAAAGTAGATTCAAAAGGTCTATTTATCAGAATGCATCTATTGATAGATTCAAAAGGTCTATTTATCAGAATGCATTCCCATGAAATCTCTGCATTCCCTGGGGTGTATTTCTTCAAAGCAAGCAGATTATCCTGCCAAGAAATGTGCTTGGCTCCCCATGAAATTCTCAGCTCACAGACAACTTGTGTGCTAATTTAGGGTTTTAGATATTTTTGTTCAGTTGATATCATAAGCAATTGTAAAGATCAGTGTTTTCTCCATGCTCTTCTCTTTCTCATCTCACCCCAAAGATCTTTTGTCCGTTGAATTACAGATACTGACTGAGGCCCTGTTCTCTGACAAACACTGAGCAGACACAGGGATGCAGTGCAGCCCAAGACTGACGAGGCCATGTTCTCATGATGCTTACATTCTGTTGTCAGGAAGGAAGACAAGCAAGAAACAGGAAATAAAGATGTTTTAGATACTGCTAAAAGCAAGCAAAGAAAAAGAGCAAACATGATAATGGAATAGAGGATTCATTAAGGCTGGAGGTTTTCCTAGCTAGATGGGGCCAGTCACCAACATCTGTTTTATGTATACAAGACTAACCGTGAGTTATACACTTATGATTAATACAGTTATTTTAATGTATGAGGGTATTTCAAAAAATGTGTGGGAAAATGGAATTAGACTATAAACATATTTTGGTGCAAAATAATTAGAAATCCACACATAGGTTTTTTTTGTTTTTTGGAGAGGTTTTTTGCTATAGGGTGTGTGCGCTCGCTAGAGAGAGAGAGAGATAAAAAGTGAGAAATCACCCCCCGGGGGGATGGCCACCCTGCAATCCTTTCTCCTCCATTCTCCTCTCAGGATCTTGAGCATGCACGCACACGTACCCGGCATGAGTTTAAGCCACCGGGTCTGGGACTTGAACCGCGGTCGACTACACGGGAGTCCAGCCACATAATCATTACGCTAACTGCTGGTCCCCACATAGATTTTTAATAAATATGTATTTTCCATAAACTTTTTGAAGAACCTTCATATGTCCTACATCAACAAAAACGTGATAATGCAATAAATGATATTGTCTTAATGGGTTAGAAGATAAGAGAGCAGGAAAATCCTAGAAAGTCAAGGAGATGGTTCCCAGGAAAGGATTTCTCTCTCTCCTTCATGTTCAGCCCTCACCAAAACTGCTGAGACTAAATTGCTAGGGAACTTGTCCAATATTTGTCCATTTGATTATGCTTGTAGCTAAGTTAATATGTAAGAGTTGGTGGAGAAATAGTAGATGCTTCTATACCTCAAGTTAAGAGAAAGTGGATTGGGGGCCAGCAAGTGGCATGCTAGTTAAGGGTGCTGGACTCCCACCATGGCTGACCGTGGTTCAAGTCCCAGACCTAGTGAACTGCATTCTCACTGTCTCTCTCTCTGCTCCCTCTGGTCAAATGAAAATAAATAAAGTGAAATAAAATAAAATAATTATTTTTTTAAAAAAGAGAAAAACTGGCTTAAGAATCAAACATAAAGGGTATGAAAGACAATTTGAGATAATAAATTCATCTGGTAAAAGTGGAGAGTCTATTGCCCTGTTGACTGACATAAAAATGTAAAGTTTTCTGGTAGAAAAGAAATACATGGTAACATCCTTGATTTAATGCAACTTAAAAAAAAACTATATTCTGTGCTATGGAGATGTACAACTATTCCTCTTCACTATAAATGTGAAGAGGAAATTATAAAACAAAAAGATTCTGGCAGAGTCAGGGCTGGATGAGGATCGAGGCCCACAGATAGCTTTTCACTGAGAAGGAAGCCAAGAAGAGGATGAGATTGACTGGAGGAGGGAAACTGGGAGGAATAGGTAGACTTCTGAAGGGGTCTGAGAGAGAGGGATCTGGGCCACAAATGGGTGACTGGCAGAAACCTAGGGCTTACCGGAGACAAAGAGGTGCAGTGCCTCACTGTGCTGCGGGCCAAAGTCATTGTCGGCTTTGCAGTAGTAGTTCCCAGAATGCTCTGCAGTCACATAGAGGCTGAAAGAGGCTCCTCCCCATGAAGAGGCTGATCTGGGTCCCAGGAGGACATCCTTGTGATAAAACTCATACCAGATGGGAGGAGATCCTGTTTGGGATTCACAGTGAAGTGTCACCATCTCTCCCTCTCGAACTGTGGTTTTAGCAGGGCGGAGGGTGAGGACAGGCGCAGACACAGGGACTGTGGGAAAGGAAGAAACTAGTCAGCAATGGCTTCTGCCTGGACTGTGGATTCTACCCTGTGACCAGTGCAGGCCCAGTCTCCGGTCTCTGCTGGCTTTCAGGGAGGCCTCACACCCTCCCAGGCTTCCCTCCCATTCTCTCTCCTGTGGTCTTTGCTGGTATTTGGCAGTCTGTTTTCCATCAAACCTCTGCCCCTCCTCTTCTCCTGCTCCCCTTGGTAGGTGACCTACCTCCCTTTTACAGAGGAGATGACACCCTCAGGGAAGAAGTGGCTGTGTTGCTGCCACCAGGCCATACCCTTCCCTGCATTAGCTCCTTGCTCCTCCCTCTACTCTGTGACCTGGGAAGGGCTGTCCCTCCCTGCCCAGGTCAGCTTATCCTCTGTCTCTGCACCACACAGTCACCTCTCCCTGTCCGAGATGTAAATTCTGTCTCTGTTGGCTCCATCCAAACATCGTTTAGGTAGGTTTAACCATCTCCATATTTCAAAAATAAGAAATATGCAAAAATAACTTTATTACATTTACATTTAATATTCTCCACAGTCTCTCCTTTCTCCTAGACTTTTGAAAGGAGAGGCCTACACTTATGGTATCCACTTTACCTCACACTCATTTCTCACCCATCACAGCCTGGTTTACATCCCCACTGATCTTCTAAAGCTCATTTTGCATGTATATGGATATTGTGGTGATAATAATAATAGGGACTTATAATGATAATGTAGCGCTTTGAACTATTAACATGTGCCTGCTAGTCCATGTATATTCATCATATATAGTTTGTAACTGTTTTATTTATCCAGATACTAACCTAATCATCATGACAACTTCACAAGGTAGGTACTGTTGTCTTCATTTTAGAGATGGAGAAGCTGAGACCTGAAGTCTAAGCTGCACAGGTGAGTAAGGCCGGTATGTGCGGCAGTGGACCTAGTTATTTTGGTTCCAGTGTGAGATCTGCTCAAGAGCACTCCTTGGCTAAATTCAGTGGATGCGATCAGTTCTCATTCCTCATCATCTCTGAGCTCTGCTGGTCTGACTTTGGTTTCTCAGGCGCCCGCTCTCAGAGTGCCTGTGCTCTCACTCATAGTCCTTCTTGGTGTCCTTCCTCCCGAGCTGGATCTGGCCTGGGGGTTCTGTCCAACGGGATACTCTCTCCTTGGGCCTTTTCCTAAGCCTGGTTGCTCTACAAACTGTTCTATAAGCTATTCTTTTCCTTTTTCATTTAGTTATTGAAAGAGATCAAAGAGAGAGAAAGAGAAAAGTTCTGCCCAAAGAGTCTCACACCATGACGCTTCCTGACGGGGCCATGCAGGCAATACAAGCTGGTAAGGATGCTGCCTCCCATTCTAAGGCAAGGCCTGGACTGGGAAGAAACTGAGGCAAGGCCCAGTTTACGAGCTCTCCCATCTCTGAGCTCTGCTGGTCTGACTTTGGTTTCTCAGGCGCCCGCTCTCAGAGTGCCTGTGCTCTCACTCATAGTCCTTCTTGGTGTCCTTCCTCCCGAGCTGGATCTGGCCTGGGGGTTCTGTCCAACGGGATACTCTCTCCTTGGGCCTTTTCCTAAGCCTGGTTGCTCTACAAACTGTTCTATAAGCTATTCTTTTCCTTTTTCATTTAGTTATTGAAAGAGATCAAAGAGAGAGAAAGAGAAAAGTTCTGCCCAAAGAGTCTCACACCATGACGCTTCCCTTACTTCCACCGGCAGCCAGATTTAGAAGCACACACTCACAGGTCGGCCTGTGAGTAAACTGAACCTGATCTTCCTCTTGGCCACCAGCTCCGCGATCAGCATGCTACTGCTGCACAGCTGCGACTGGGCTTCTGTCTACTCTCCACATACCAGCTAGAGTGATCTGCCCCAGGATTCAAACCTCTCTTGAACCCCAGGTTACCATTACGACAGCAGTTTCCACCCCAGGCCAGCCCATGGATTGAAGCAACCAGGGTCTGTTGGCTGTATCAACTCCCCAGCCATACAGTGGGTGGTGGGGGCAGGTATGAATGGCTGGAGATTGAGCCAGGCTTTCTCAGCGTTTGCAGCCATGCTCCATCATGGGCATTGCCATCTGGGCTGCACCTCCTTTCAAAGAGTGGTGGTGTTGGGTTCCCATGGGAACACAAACCCAGCTGTAGTATAATTGTTTCATCGAATATTGCAATGTGATAGTGGTGGAAATGGGGTGATTGTTTCATTGAATATTGCCATGTGGTAGTGGTGAAAATGGGGTGCGCAGTAGATGTGGTATGCTGTGTCACCCAAAACCAACTCCCCTTTCCTTCTTTGAGGAGGGATGGTCTTCCACAAGGCAATTGTCTTTGGTTCCAGGTGCTGGAAATGTTTAGGACCGCTGATTTAGAATAAAGCCCAGGCCTTTATCACTGCTTTTAAGGCTGGCCTGGCCTTGCTTCCTGCTAGAACTACGCCCTGTTTCCTTTTCCAATCTTTCACTCTGCACTTTAGTCAATGTGAACTAGCCTCCTTCCAATTCCTTGAATAGTTCCTCCCTCCTCACAACAGTCCTGAGGCAGCTGCCTCTCCCCAGAGAATAGCCTCTTTTTTCTCCCAATTACTCTCTTCTTCTCTCAAAACATCCCCATTCTTCCTCGGGGCTCAACACACACAGAAATTTCTCTAAAAATTTTCCTCTGACCTCATAACTCAGACTGGAGTGCTTTTTATTGGATCCGGTAGCCACAGGTGAATGTTTGCAGTCCCTCAACTGCGTCTGTCATTAGACCTAAGAACAGTATGGACAGGGCCGTGAAGGTCGAGTCTCATTTACTCTTTGACTTCAGTTCAGTCTGGCATTCAGAACATTCACGATATTATTGTAGGTGAAAAAATGAGCCATTGTATAGAACTTCACACAGCTCTGAGTGCATGGAATAGTGATGCCACTGTTTCTGCCTCCCGTGGGTCTCTGGATGGAGGGAGAACTTCTCTATCTTCTCCATTTGATATGTCATCCAGGCTCCGCGATCCTCCCCTTTCTAATCCTGCACAAATATTGCAAGAGGGACTGAATTGTGGCTTCTTTTCCAGCCTGGTTCTTTCTGTTGCCTTATGGGAGAGGAAACTGAGGCTGCTTCCCAGCCCAGTTAATGATAGGCTCTCTGATTCCTATACAGGCCCAGTCACACTGTCCCTCTGAATCTGGGCATCACATTTGGCCACACGGTTGGTGCAAAACTGAGACCAAGGACCAATGGAAACCATTTCAACGTCATAGATGTTGAGCAAGCAGAGGTGACACCGTCTCCTGCCTGGCTCTCAGCCTCTCCTTGCCTGTGCCTCCCTCACGCTGTTGCCTACAACGTCTATCAATTGAGCAGGAGGGACATCTTTGGAGTAATTCTTATCCTGCTTCCTCTCTTTGTGTCTTACATGGCTTTGCACACTGTTACTGACCACTGTCTGATTTTAAAGACACAGCGACACCACTGTGCCCCAGGAATGAATTGTGCAGTGACTGAAAACTATTCAATGAATGAAAAGCATCTGAGTCACTACCGGACAAGTGGAGAGCAAGAGAAAGGCATTTGGCTCCTCAGGCATGGGGGCCAGGAGAGAGAGACAGCTGTTGCACAGACACCTTGGGTGGTCTAGCCCCACAGGTCATAGGAGGAAGAGGCTATCAGAGGTTGATAGCAAGGTCAGTGAGCTGGAAAGTGTGTAAGGACGTTGAGCTGGCCCAGGAACTAGCAGAGGAAACTGGAAGGTGGGAGCACATTTCTGAAGGGGTAGGAAGAGAGAGGGATCTGGGCCAGGGGTGGTGGCTGGAAGAACCCTGGCTTACCGATGACGGACAGACTCACTGCCTCACTGCGTTGTGGGCCCAGGCCATTGTCAGCTGTGCAGTAGTAGTTCCCAGAATTCTCTGCACTCAGTGAGAAACTGACAGAACGTTCTTCCAAGTAAGTGAATTGGGATATTATCTTCTTCAGAAATACACCTTCACGAAGAAACTGATACATGATCGGAAAGGAGCCTTTCTGGACTTCACAACGAAGTGTCACCATGTCTCCCTCTCGAACCTTGTCCTCTGCAGGGTGGAGGGTGAGGACAGGAGCAGACACAGGGACTGTGGGAAAGGAAACATATAGTCAGTGGCTTCTGTCAAGTACTGAAGATTCCAGTGCAGGCCCAGTCTCCAGTCTCTGCTGGCTCTCAGGGAAGTTCCGCACCCTCCCAGGCTTCCCTCCCTTTCTCTCTCCTGTGCTCCCTGCTGGTGTTCGGCACTCTGTTCATTTCCCACCAAACCTCTGCCCCTCCTCTTTTCTTGCTCCCCTTGTTAGGTGACCTGCTTCTCTCTCTCCTGCTTCTCTCTCTCTCTTTTTTCTTTCTTTCGTTCTTTCTTTTTAACCTGCTTCTCTTTTGCAGAGGAGATGATGCCCTCAGGGAAGAAATGGCTGTTGTGTTGCCACCAGACCACACCCTTCCCTGCATCATCCTCTTGCTCTTTCCCTGCCTGTGCCTCCCTCACGCTGTTGCCTACAATGTCTATCAATTGAGCAAGAGGGGCATCTTTGGAGTAATTCTGATCCTGCTTCCTCTCTTTGTGTCTTACATGGCTTTGCACACTGTTACTGACCACTGTCTGATTTTAAAGACACAGCGACACCACTGTGCCCTGGGAACGAATTGTGCAGTGACTGAAAACTATTCAATGAATGAAAAGCATCTGAGTCACTACCGGACAAGTGGAGAGCAAGAGAAAGGCATTTGGCTCCTCAGGCATGGGGGCCAGGAGAGAGAGACAGCTGTTGCACAGACACCCTGGGTGGCCCAGCCCCACAGGTCACATGAAGAACAGGCTATCAGAGGCCGATAGCAAGGTCAGTGAGCTGGAAAGTGCAAGGACGTTGAGTTGGCCCAGGAACAAGGAGAAGAAACTGGAATGCGGGAACACATTTCTGAAGGGGTAGGAGAGAGAGGGATCTGGGCCAGGGGTGGTGGCTGGAAGAACCCTGGCTTACCGATGACGGACAGACTCACTGCCTCACTGCGTTGTGGGCCCAGGCCATTGTCAGCTGTGCAGTAGTAGTTCCCAGAATTCTCTGCACTCAGTGAGAAACTGACAGAACGTTCTTCCAAGTAAGTGAATTGGGATATTATCTTCTTCAGAAATACACCTTCACGAAGAAACTGATACATGATCGGAAAGGAGCCTTTCTGGACTTCACAACGAAGTGTCACCATGTCTCCCTCTCGAACCTTGTCCTCTGCAGGGTGGAGGGTGAGGACAGGAGCAGACACAGGGACTGTGGGAAAGGAAACATATAGTCAGTGGCTTCTGTCAAGTACTGAAGATTCCAGTGCAGGCCCAGTCTCCAGTCTCTGCTGGCTCTCAGGGAAGCTCTGCACCCTCCCAGGCTTCCCTCCCTTTCTCTCTCCTGTGCTCCTTGCTGGTCTTCAGCAGTCTGTTTCCCACCAAACCTCTGCCTCTCCTCCTCTCCTGCTCCCCTTGGTAGGTGACCTACCTCCCTTTTGCAGAGGAGATGACACCCTCGGGAATGAAGTGGCTGGGTTGCTGCCACCAGGCCACACCCTTCCCTGCATCAGCTCCTTGCTCCTTCCCACTTCCCTGTGACGTGGGAAGGACTTTCTCTCCCTGTCCAGGTCAGCTTGTCTTCGGTCTCTGGGGTACACAGTCACCTGTCCCTGTCCCTGTCCTAGATGTAAATTCCTTGTCTCTGTTAACTCCATCCAAACATCATTTGGGTATGTTTAACTGTCTCTATATATGAAAAATAAGAAGGATGCCAAAACAACCTTATTTCCCTTTAATATTCTCCACAGGCTTTTTCTTGTCTTTCCTGGAGAGACTTCTGAAAGAAGCAACCTACAGTTATGGTCTCCACTTCACCCCACACTCACTTCTCACCCTGCAAACCTGGTTTTCATCCCCACTAATCTGCTAAAGCTCATTTTTTATGTATGGGTATAATGGGGATAATAATAATAATAGGTACTTACAATGAAAATGTAGTACTTTGAACTGTTAACATGTGTCTAGTGCTGCATGAATATTCATTACATATAATTTGTAAGAGTTGTTTATGGTCAGACACTAATCTAATCATGAAAACTATTTCACGAGGTAGGTACTGTTGTTGTCTCCATTTTAGAGATGGAGAAACCGAGACCTAAAGGCCAAGTTGCACAGGCGAATAAGGCAGGTGTGTGCAGGCTTCCGAGGCAGTGGATCTAGTTAGTTCCCAGACTGAGATGTGCCCAAGAGCACTCCACGGCTACATTCTGTGGATGGGGCTCAGTTCTCATCCGTCATCACCTCTGAGCTCGGTTTGTCTGAACTGGCCTCTGCTCTTGGTCTCTCACGTGCACACTCTCACAGCGCCTTTTCGCTCCGTCACGGTTCTTCTCAGTGTCCTTCCTCCTGAGCTGGGACTAGCCTAGAGGTTCGGCCCAGCAGATAGTCTCTCCTTAGGCTCTCTCTCCTCTAATCCTGGTTGCTCTACAAACGGACTGTTCTACAATCTATTTTTTCCTAATTTTTTTTTTTATGTATTGAAAGTGATTAAGAGCGAGAAAGAGAGAGAATAATCTGCTAAAGCTCCTTTTTTATGTATGGGTATAATGGGGATAATAATAATAATAGGTACTTATAATGAAAATGTAGTACTTTGAACTGTTAACATGTGTCTAGTGCTGCATGAATATTCATTACATATAATTTGTAAGAGTTGTTTATGGTCAGACACTAATCTAATCATGAAAACTATTTCACGAGGTAGGTACTGTTGTTGTCTCCATTTTAGAGATGGAGAAACCGAGACCTAAAGGCCAAGTTGCACAGGCGAGTAAGGCAGGTGTGTGCGGGCTTCCGAGGCAGTGGATCTAGTTAGTTCCCAGACTGAGATGTGCCCAAGAGCACTCCACGGCTACATTCCGTGGATGGGGCTCAGTTCTCATCCGTCATCACCTCTGAGCTCGGCTTGTCTGAACTGGCCTCTGCTCTTGGTCTCTCACGTGCACACTCTCACAGCGCCTTTTCGCTCCGTCACGGTCCTTCTCAGTGTCCTTCCTCCTGAGCTGGGACTAGCCTAGAGGTTCTGCCCAGCAGATAGTCTCTCCTTAGGCTCTCTCTCCTCTAATCCTGGTTGCTCTACAAACGGACTGTTCTACAATCTATTTTTTCCTAATTTTTTTTTTTATGTATTGAAAGTGATTAAGAGCGAGAAAGAGAGAGAAGCACCACAGACAGTCTCATGCCACGACACTCCCCTCGCCTTCAGAGCCACTGAGATTCAGAAGTACTCACTCACAATTTGATCTGAGAACCGAACCCTGACCTTCCATATGTTCACCATCAGCACATTACTGTCACCCCACCACAACGGGGCTACTTTCTGTTCTTCACACCCAGCCAGGGTGATCCAGCATTCAAACTTCTCTTTGACACCTGATCACCCTTAGAAAAGGGGTTCCCAACCCAGACTAGGCCATGGACTGGTACAGGTGCACATCCTATTTACTCTACTTCCTCCCCAGCCATGCAGCCAGGGTGGATGTGGCAGTGGATGGCAGGGTTTTTTTATGTATTGAAAGTGATTAAGAGCGAGAAAGAGAGAGAAGCACCACAGACAGTCTCATGCCACGACACTCCCCTCGCCTTCAGAGCCACTGAGATTCAGAAGTACTCACTCACAATTTGATCTGAGAACCGAACCCTGACCTTCCATATGTTCACCATCAGCACATTACTGTCACCCCACCACAACGGGGCTACTTTCTGTTCTTCACACCCAGCCAGGGTGATCCAGCATTCAAACTTCTCTTTGACACCTGATCACCCTTAGAAAAGGGGTTCCCAACCCAGACTAGGCCATGGACTGGTACAGGTGCACATCCTATTTACTCTACTTCCTCCCCAGCCATGCAGCCAGGGTGGATGTGGCAGTGGATGGCAGGTGAGTGAGCCAGGCTGCATGTGTTTGCAGCCACACTCCAATGCTGGCATTGCCCTTTGGCTCTCTCTGCTGCCATAAAGGGGTTGTGCTAGATTGCCATGGAAGCACAAAACCTATTGCTATGTGACTGGCTCATTGAATGCTGCAATGTGGTAGCGATGGAAACGGGGTGCACAGTGGATGTGGTGTGCTGGGTCACCTCAAGGCCAACCCACCATCCTTGGATGTGGAGGGATTATCTTCCAAGAGGCTGGTCCCCGATGTTGAGAAAGTTGAGAACCAGTCTTTTAGGATAAAGCCAAGCCCTTACTACCGCTTATAAGGCTGACCTGGTCTTGCCTCTTGACATACCTGTGTTTGCCTCTCCCAACCCCTCACCCAATGTGAATGTGAACTGGCCTCCTTCCAGTTCCCCGAATGGTTCCTCCATCCTCACCACAGTCCTTTAGCACCTGCCTCTCCCTGTAACACAGCCTTTTCTCCCAGTCACTCCTCTCTTCTCTCGAAATGTCCCCATTCATCCTCAGAATTCAACTCACATAAGACCTTCTCTAAGAAATTACCTCTCACCTCCCAACTCAGATTGAGGTGTTTTCCATTTGATCCTATAGCCACCAGGGACTTCTATTGCCCAGTGGGAGTTTGCTCTCTCTCTCATTTACATCTGGTGTTAGACCTAAGAACCATGTGGACGGGGCCATGTTGGTCTAGTTTGGTGTACCTTCAGTCTGGCATTCAGAACATTCACAGTATGATTTGTACATGAAAAAATGAGACACGGTGCAAACTTCCCACAGCTCTGAGAGCATGTACTAGTGATGCCACTGTTTCTGATTCCCGTGAGTCTCTGGATGGCAGAAGCACTTCTCTGTCTTCCATTTGTTATGTCATCCAGGTTCTGTGATCCTTCCCTTTCTAATCCTGCACATCTGTTGCAAGAGGGACCGAATCCTGGCTTATTTTCCAGCCTGTTTTTTCCTGTTGTTTTATGGGAGAAGAAACTGAGACTGCCTTCCAGCCCCGTCAAAGGCTAGACTTTCTGCCTTCTATATGGACCCAGTCACACTGTCCGTCTAAACCTGGGCACCACATTTGGCCACACGGTTGGTGCAAAACTGAGACCAAGGGCCAACGGAAACCATTTCAACGTCACAGCTGTTGAGCAAGCAGAGGTGACGCCGTCTCCTGCCCAGCTCTCAGCCTCTCCCTGCCTGTGCCTCCCTCACGCTGTTGCCTACGATGTCTATCAATTGAGCAAGAGGGGCATCTTTGGAGTAATTCTGATCCTGCTTCCTCTCTTTGTGTCTTACATGGCTTTGCACACTGTTACTGACCACTGTCTGATTTTAAAGACACAGCGACATCACTGTGCCCCAGGAATGAATTGTGCAGTGACTGAAAACTATTCAATGAATGAAAAGCATCTGAGTCACTACCGGACAAGTGGAGAGCAAGAGAAAGGCATTTGGCTCCTCAGGCATGGGGGCCAGGAGAGAGAGACAGCTGTTGCACAGACACCTTGGGTGGTCTAGCCCCACAGGTCATAGGAGGAAGAGGCTATCAGAGGCCGATAGCAAGGTCAGTGAGCTGGAAAGTGCAAGGACGTTGAGCTGGCCCAGGAACAAGGAGAAGAAACTGGAATGCGGGAGCACATTTCTGAAGGGGTAGGAGAGAGAGGGATCTGGGCCAGGAGTGGTGACTGGAAGAACCTTGGGGCTTACCAATGACGGACAGACTCACTGCCTCACTGCGTTGTGGGCCCAGGCCGTTGTCAGCTGTACAGTAGTAGTTCCTAGAATGCATTGCAGTCAGTGAGAAAGTGACGGGTCGTCGTCCCCAAGAAGCAGATTGGAATGTTACCGTCTTTAGAACTACACCTTCACGAAGAAACTGGTATGTGATCGGGAAAGAGCCTTTCTGGACTTCACAGTAAAGTGTCACAATGTCTCCCTCTCGAACCTTGGCTTCAGCAGGGTGGAGGGTGAGGACAGGAGCAGACACAGGGACTGTGGGAGAGGAAACGTAGTCAGCAGTGGCTTCTGCCTGGTACCATGGGTTTTAACTGTGGCTTGTTCAGGCCCAGTCTCCAGTCTCTGCTGGCTCTCAGGGCAGTTCCGCACCCTCCCAGGCTTCCCTCCCTTTCTCTCTCCTGTGCTCCCTGCTGGTGTTCGGCACTCTGTTCATTTCCCACCAAACCTCTGCCCCTCCTCTTTTCTTGCTCCCCTTGTTAGGTGACCTGCTTCTCTCTCTCCTGCTTCTCTCTCTCTCTTTTTTCTTTCTTTCGTTCTTTCTTTTTAACCTGCTTCTCTTTTGCAGAGGAGATGATGCCCTCAGGGAAGAAATGGCTGTTGTGTTGCCACCAGACCACACCCTTCCCTGCATCATCCTCTTGCTCTTCCCCTCTTCCCTGTGACCTGGGAAGGGGTGCCCCTCATCTGTCCAGGTCAGAATCACCTATGTCTCTTGACCATGCAGTCACCTGTCCCTGTCCTAGATGTAAATTCTCTCTCTGTTGGCTCCATCCAAACAGCATTTAGGTATGCTTCACCATCTCCATGTTTGAAAAATAAAAATTATTCCAAAACAACCCTGTTTTCATTTAATATTTCCCACAGTTCTTTCTCCTCTCTCCTGGACAGACTTGTGAAAGAAGCTGTCTGTGCTCACGGTCCCCACTTCACCTCACACTCATTTCTCACCCATCACAACTCACTTTTCACCCACCAATCCACTAACGTTCATTTTTCATGTGTGGATATAAGGGTGATAATAATAGTGGGAATTTATAATGACAATATAGTGCTTTTCGCTATTTGCATGTGTCTGCTATAGCATATATATATTAATTTTATACAAGTTTCAAATGTTTATAAATTCAGACCCTAATGTAATCATCAGAACAATTCCATGAGGTAGGTACTATTGTCTCCATTTTGGAGATGGAGAAGCTGAGACCTTAATGTCAAGTTGCACAGGTGAGTAAGGCAGTTATCTGCAGATGTCTATTTTTTTCTATTTTTTAAGAATTGTTTTATTTAGCCTTATTTACTTATTTTAATTTGACCAGATAGAGACAAAGCAAGAGAGAGAGGGAGAGTGAGAAAACAAGTGGCCAGGTCCAGGAATCCAGGCACGTGGGATTCCAATGCCCTTAACCATCACGCAGCTTACTGGCCCCACAGACTTCTGAAGCAGTGAACACCGTTACTTTGATTCTAGTGTGAGATCAGCTCCAGAGTACTCCATGGCTACACTCAGTGGATGGGGCTCAGTTCTCACTTTCATCATCTCTCAGCTCTGCTTGTCGAACTGGCCTCCCCTCTTGGTTGCTCAGGTGCACACTCTCAGAGCATCTTTTCACTCAGTCATGGTCCTTCTCAGTGGCCTTCCTCCTGAGCTGGGACTGGCCTAAGGGTTCAGTCCAATGGGATACTCTCTCCTTGCACCCTCAGCTCTAATCCTGGATGCTCAAAACAAAACAAAACAAAAAAACCTGGCTGTTTTACAGTCTATTCTTTTCCTAAAGTTCATTTAGTGATTAAAAGAGATCAAGGGAGAGAGAGAAGCACCCTCAACAGAGTTAAACACCATGAGGCTTCCCTCACCTTCATAGCCAGCCAGATTCAGAAGTATGCACTCAGAAGCTGACCTGGGAACTGAACTCTGATTGTTCATATGGCCACCACTTCTTTGGTCTGCATGTTACTGCTGCAGCACTGCGACTGGGATACTTTCTGTTCTCACACACTGGCTAGGGTGGTCTGGCATTTAAACCCCTCTTTGACCCCAAATTAGCCTCAGAACAGCTGTTCCCAGCCCCAGGCCAGGCCATGGACTGGTGCAGGCCCATGTCTTGTTGGCTCTACTTCTTCCACAGCCATGCAGCAGGGGTGAGGGAGATGAATGGCGGGGAAGTGAGCCAGGCTCGGTCTGCTTTGGTGGCTCTGCCTCATTGCTGGCATTGCTGCCTGGTCTCTATCTCCTGTCCTAGAGTGGTGGTGCTAGGTTCTCATGGAGCACAAACCTCACTGCAACACAGTCTTTCCTTTGCCCAGTTCTTCCACTTCTCTCTCAAAACATCCCCATTCATCCTCAGGGCTCAACTCACACATGAACTTCTCTAAGGAATTTCTTCTCAGCTCCCAACTCAGCCTGGGGTGTTTTCCATTTGATCCTGTAGCCACAGGTGAGTGTTTGCCCTAACTCTCATCTGCACCTGCTATTAGACCTAAGAGCTGTGGGGACAAGGCCATGAAGGTGTAATTTCATGAGTCCTTAGCCTTCAGTTCAGTCCCGCATTCAGAACATTCACAATATTATTTGTTAGGTAAACAAATGCGTCCTTGTATAGAACTTCACAGAGCTCTGAGAGCATGTAACAGTGATGCTGCTGTTTCTGACTCCCGTGGGTCTCTGGATGGCGGGAGAACTTCTCTATCTTCTCCATTTGATATCTCATCCAGGATTCCGTGATCCTCCCCTTTCTAATCCTGCACAAATATTGCAAGAGGGACTGAATTGTGGCTTCTTTTCCAGCCTGGTTCTTTCTGTTGCCTTATGGGAGAGGAAACTGAGGCTGCTTCCCAACCCAGTCAACGATAGACTCTCTGACTCCTGTACGGGCCCAATCATGCTGTCCCTCTAAAACTGGGCTCCAGATTTGGCCATCGGAATTGTTGCAAAACTGAGATCAAGAATCAATGGAACCATTTCAACATCATAGATGTTGAGCAAGCAGAGGTGACGCCGTCTCCTGCCCGGCTCCCAGCCTCTCCTTGCCTGTGCCTCCCTCACGCTGTGGCCTACAACATCTATCAATTGAGCAGGAGGGACATCTTTGGAGTAATTCTGATCCTGCTTCCTCTCTTTGTGTCTTACATGGCTTTGCACACTGTTACTGACCACTGTCTGATTTTAAAGACACAGCGACACCACTGTGCCCTGGGAACGAATTGTGCAGTGACTGAAAACTATTCAATGAATGAAAAGCATCTGAGTCACTACCGGACAAGTGGAGAGCAAGAGAAAGGCATTTGGCTCCTCAGGCATGGGGGCCAGGAGAGAGAGACAGCTGTTGCACAGACACCTTGGGTGGTCTAGCCCCACAGGTCATAGGAGGAAGAGGCTATCAGAGGCCGATAGCAAGGTCAGTGAGCTGGAAAGTGCAAGGACGTTGAGCTGGCCCAGGAACAAGGAGAAGAAACTGGAATGCGGGAGCACATTTCTGAAGGGGTAGTAGAGAGAGGGATCTGGGCCAGGAGTGGTGGCTGGAAGAACCCTGGGGCTTACCAATGACGGACAGACTCACTGCCTCACTGCGTTGTGGGCCCAGGCCGTTGTCAGCTGTACAGTAGTAGTTCCTAGAATGCATTGCAGTCAGTGAGAAAGTGACGGGTCGTCGTCCCCAAGAAGCAGATTGGAATGTTACCGTCTTGAGAACTACACCTTCACGAAGAAACTGGTATGTGATCGGGAAAGAGCCTTTCTGGACTTCACAGTAAAGTGTCACAATGTCTCCCTCTCGAACCTTGGCTTCAGCAGGGTGGAGGGTGAGGACAGGAGCAGACACAGGGACTGTGGGAGAGGAAACGTAGTCAGCAGTGGCTTCTGCCTGGTACCATGGGTTTTAACTGTGGCTTGTTCAGGCCCAGTCTCCAGTCTCTGCTGGCTCTCAGGGCAGATCCGCACCCTCCCAGGCTTCCCTCCCTTTCTCTCTCCTGTGCTCCCTGCTGGTGTTCGGCACTCTGTTCATTTCCCACCAAACCTCTGCCCCTCCTCTTTTCTTGCTCCCCTTGTTAGGTGACCTGCTTCTCTCTCTCCTGCTTCTCTCTCTCTCTTTTTTCTTTCTTTCGTTCTTTCTTTTTAACCTGCTTCTCTTTTGCAGAGGAGATGATGCCCTCAGGGAAGAAATGGCTGTTGTGTTGCCACCAGACCACACCCTTCCCTGCATCATCCTCTTGCTCTTCCCCTCTTCCCTGTGACCTGGGAAGGGGTGCCCCTCATCTGTCCAGGTCAGAATCACCTATGTCTCTTGACCATGCAGTCACCTGTCCCTGTCCTAGATGTAAATTCTCTCTCTGTTGGCTCCATCCAAACAGCATTTAGGTATGCTTCACCATCTCCATGTTTGAAAAATAAAAATTATTCCAAAACAACCCTGTTTTCATTTAATATTTCCCACAGTTCTTTCTCCTCTCTCCTGGACAGACTTGTGAAAGAAGCTGTCTGTGCTCACGGTCCCCACTTCACCTCACACTCATTTCTCACCCATCACAACTCACTTTTCACCCACCAATCCACTAACGTTCATTTTTCATGTGTGGATATAAGGGTGATAATAATAGTGGGAATTTATAATGACAATGTAGTGCTTTTCGCTATGTGCATGTGTCTGCTGTAGCATATATATTAATTTTATACAAGTTTCAAATGTTTATAAATTCAGACCCTAATGTAATCATCAGAACAATTCCATGAGGTAGGTACTATTGTCTCCATTTTGGAGATGGAGAAGCTGAGACCTTAATGTCAAGTTGCACAGGTGAGTAAGGCAGTTATCTGCAGATGTCTATTTTTT